CAATGTCAAGAAAACAAAAATCCTCACCACTGGACCAATAAACAACATTCTTATCAATGGAGAAAATATTACAGTTGTCAAGGACTTCATTCTTTTTGGATCAACTATCAACACTCACGGAAGCAGCAGTCAAGAGATCAGACGACGTATTGCATTAGGCAAATCTGCTGCACAAGAACTTTTTAAAGCGTTGAAGAGCAAAGTTGTCAGCTTGAGGATTAAGGTGCGCCTGACCCAAGCCGTGGTATTTTCAAAAACTTCGTATGCGTGTGAAAGCTGGACAGTGAATAAGGAAAATCATAGAATAATTTGAGTTATGGTGTTGGAGGAGAATTCTAAAAGTGCCATGGGCTGCCAAAAGAACCAATAGACCTGTTTTGGAAGAAGTGCAGCCAGAATGCTCCTTAGAGGACAAGATGGCCAAACTTCGTCTCTCATACTTTGGAAATATTATCAGGAGGGAATAGTCGCTAGAGAAGGATATCAAGTTTGGTAAGGTGGAGGGTCAGAGAAAAAGAGGAAGACCCCCAATGAGATGGATTGGCCAGGTGGTAGCATCGATGGATTCAAGTGTGGCAACAGTAGTGAGGTTGGCCCAGGATTGGACATTGTTTCATTCTGCTGTGCATAAGGTCACTATGAGTTGGTGCCGACTCAATGGCACCTAACAACAACAAGTTTAAACAAACAGTCGAGACATTCCCAAAGCAAAGTGTTGAAATCTACTTTTTTTTAACGATAGTAAAACTCTCCTGTTCACCTCCCTCCTTCCATTAACTAACATATCACATTCTAACTGAATAGAAGCTCTGATATGTACAATAAATCACTGTTGCTAAAGTACCATTAAGTTGGTTCCAACTCACAATGACCTTGTATAGGGCTTCCAAGGAGTGCCTGGTGGGTTTGAACTGCCGACCTTGTGGCTAGCAGTCCAGTGCTTATCCTCCAGTGTCACACCAGGACTCTGTAATAAAAAAGCTAAACTCTGAACTTTTTCTGACTGAAAGTAGCCATGACCATATTTACAAGTGTTAGAACAAAGATAAAGCACAGGAAAAGGCTGAAAAGATTCTCTCTTTCAGCTAATGGGCAGTCATCATGGCTCGTCTCTTTTAATGGGACTGATGAAGCCAAATCACTGGTGAAATACTTGTTTCCTGAGATGTTATCAGGTCCATTAACAGCACCTTAATTTTATATGTAGTAAATCATTTTGAGAGTCAAGTGAATATTTTTTTCAGGAAAACCACCAGAAGAACATAGGCCTTGTTTGATACTGCACATATTTGAATTACTAATAGACTTTAAGTAGTTCAATTGGGAGTGAAGAGCAATGAGGTCAGATAGATTCTATTATAAAACATTAGCAAAGACAATGCTATTTAATCACTTAAAGTACACGGTAGTAAAACCCACTCAAGTATTTCCTCGGCGTGATGACAACAACGGGGCTTCAAAGAGGTTCTTGAAATAAAATGGAGCTAAAAGGTAACGGAATTTTTCCATAAACTTTTTGAAGTCCTCTTGTATGTATGGAGTGATATAAGAGAAACACTGTTTTTTTAAAAATAAATAATGCACTCACACACACCATGGTGGTATAGCGTGCTTAGAAAAACAGGAGTGGGGGGGGGGAGAATGAGGGAGGATGCTGTAACACTAAAATACGCCTTCTTTTAACAGTAGAAATTTAGGGAGAAAAAAACAGAACTAGAAATTTCCAGACATATTTGTTGGGCTAATTCTCCTAATGATCCTGTGAAAGATCTGTAATAGTAGTCCTACAAATAAGTGCACATTGTGACATGTAACAGGTCTAAAACAATAAATGAAAGTTACGATTTAAACACAGAGCTTCTGTAACTAAGCTCAGACTTAAGGATACTGCCAAAGTAGTTTGGAAAATCAAATAAGCAACAGTTAAAGGAGATTAGAGTATGTTTCAATGAAAGAGTATTTAAGGAAAGAAAAGGAAAAGAGAAAGACAAGGGAGCTCAGAAACACAGAGAGAATCACATGACAAGGGATGGAGAGGTGAGCACACTGCTTGTTGCTGTTGTTACTAAGTGCTGTTGAGTCAGTGCCGACCCATATATAGAAATCCTACATAGGGTTTCTGAGAGTGGCTGGTAAACTTGAACTGCCAACCTTGCAGTTCCAACCAAGTCTGCAGTCCAGTGCATTACCCTACAGCACCACACTTAGGCACAGGGTATAAAATAGAAAATCCTGCCTGGTTCATTTTGCACATTCTAGTGATTATACGGCAGTGATATAAATTCAGCTTAGAAACTACCTTCAAATTTGAGGCACTTCTTTCCAAGCAACATCTGCTTTATTTTAGATATCTGAAAACTAGTAACATACCAAATTTAAATTTTGTAAAACTAATGTAATGTTTTGCTTATTTTAAAAGACATTTCATACTATGAAGTCAGCTGGAAAGAAGTAAGTACAAATTATTTTTTTTCCCCATTAATTTGAAATGAGTACAGGTGTGGTGCTGTAGGATAAGCACTGGACTGCTAAACACAAAATTAGCAGTTCAAACCCACCAGCCACTCCTTAGAAACGCTATGTAGGGTCCCTATAAATCAGAATTGACTCAATGACACTTAACAATTTGTAACAGGGAAAACTTAAAGCATGGTGTGCTACATGGTAACATATATGCAACATGTTACATACAACAGACTAATCACCAGTATTTATATTTACAAATATTAATTTTCCACTGATTTCACTGGCTTCTCAAAGATAATAAGACTTCTGGTACGGCACTGTGGGATCAGCACTGGACTGTGAACTACAGGGTCTGTGGTTCCAACCCACCAGTTGCTCTTCGGAAACCTTCCACAGGGAGGAAGTAAGTCGGAACTGACTCTACAGCACTTACCAACAATAATACTGATTTGGGGTGAGGAAGGGAAAGACACAGTGGCCTAGCAGAAGGTAAAGCCAGGGAAGGGCTAACATGCGGGAGACAGGAGGCTGGGTTCAGGATCAAGGAGACCATTCATGTACGACAGCGGCTTGATGCAGGCTGTCCAAGCACAAGTAGGATGAAGACAGTGTCTCTATAAGCACATGGTCAGGGTACAGAGAGGAAACCATGTGTGTGTTGGAGGGGCTGAGAGGGGACGTGGTGGCATAAAGCATCAGAACACGCAATTAGTAAAAGGGCTCTGATACACACAACCAGCTGGCATGGGGCATCAGAATGTAGTGTGCAGGCAGTACAGCACAGGATAAGGCACAGTGGTCGGGACCCAATGGGCATGTGACATAGCTGGAGTTGGGTGAGAAGGACATTTGAACTATGGTCGGGATAGTAACAAGAGTTTGGTTACTATATACACGGCACTGATACCATAATAAGGATACTAACAGCAAGGTTTTCACTGTCTGAAAGGGACTTACAGCTATGGGAAGGGAGAAAACTAGAATGAACCCCTGTGGTTCTAGAGAAGAACTGAAAGTACTGCTGCCAACTCATGGTTTTTAATACACACACACACATTTTCAGGGACAAATATATGTAAATATGTCTATATGCATATACACATAAACCACTTATTCTCTAGCTTGTTCCACTGGAAGGGCCCGGAAAAAGCATTACTTTAATAACAATGTGCAGCTCTAGCTTCCAGATCTTGATTTCTAAACACCATTTTCCAAAATAAGAAAGCTGGGCTAAAAAAAGTCCAGGGCAAGTCTGGAAACTCTTATAAGAGAGAACAATGTTGGGATAACCAATAATGCATCAGTATTAGCATTCTGATTTTCAGCTGCATTATGGCTATTAGGAGAGAATCTTTGTAAGAAACACACACCCAAGTATTGGGGATAAAGGGACTTCAGGTTAGCAACTTACTCCCAAATAACTCAGGGGGAGAAAAAAAAGTTCTTTGCATGTATCTGTGACTTTTCTGGAAGTCTGAGACTGACTGCATGAATAAATAGAAATGGAGAAAGCAGAAAGGCAGTAAACTAGCAGAGGGCAGAAAAAAACTACTCACTGAGGTCTTCAGCCAGTTGAACTCGTTTACCGGTAAGCAATTTAACCTTCTTTTCACCATCTTCAGCAAAATCTTCCAATACTTCTTTTACATTTTTCTCCAATCGTCTGACTGTTCAAAGTAAATAAGAAGTCTGAGAGCACTGTTTTTATGAATGCACAGGGATAGTAAAAAATAAATCTATATGAAGGGTACGTTGTTTTTCTCATTGTATTAGAGCTACTGTAAAATTCACATTTCTCACAGCTGTAAGGGGATCTCTACCTGCTAGACAATAAAACACGCAATCGAAAGTCTCAGTGAAAGTCACATGCTCAAGGTGTAGTCATGATGGAAGTACAGACGGGAGCCTGTTTTTAAATGGCATTCTTGTATCATGAAGAAGTCTGCAGGTATGTTCTATCACTCATCTTTTCCAGATAGGATTTGTGTTCATTACTATTTTAAGAACAAATTACAATCTTTAGGCTTTCTAATAAAATCTACTTCTAAGGTAGCACTTTGGCACTTTTCTGTTAAAAATGGATTTTACTACTACTATTATTGATGTGGAGTCCTGGTGTGGCGCTGTGGGTTAATGCGCCAGACTAAAAAAGCCATTTGAACCGCAAGGTCGACAGTTCAAGCTCACCAGCTGCTCCTTGGAAACCCTATACAGGGTCGCTATGGGTCAGAATCGACTCAACGGCACTTGACAATAACAACATTATTGATGTAAAAATTAGAAAGTGACTTCTTTTTGGCTTACCTTCAGTATTTGTAAGTTGCTGCCTTAATGTATTTGCAGTGATAGCAAGCATGCGTTGTATTCGCCAAAATAAGACCACATCGTTGCATTCCAACTGAAATATTAAATGAAATTACCAAATGCAAGTTTAGAAAGGAAAACACACAGCTACTACAAGTCAGCTTTTTAAAAATAGTACTCAGATTTGTGTACGTACATATATTCCTATTATAGATATAGAAGTCCGGGTGTGGCGCTGTAGTAGGAAAAGCACTTGACCTCAAGGTCAGTTTAAACTGCAAGGTCAGTGGTTCATACTCACCAGCCACTCCTCAAAAACCCTGCACAGGGTCTCTACAGGCTGGAACTGACTCCACGGCATTTAACAGCACCAACAATAAATACAAGTTGAATGTTCTCAGTCTAGAATCCATGACACCCTGCATGATTTGGGTTCTATTTGCCCCACAGATACATACATGGTTTTATTCTGATTCCCAAATGACAAAACATAAACTCAGGAAGCAGATGTGCAATCAACTCCATAGTAGTTAGCCAACAATACCATACACAAAAGTTGATAGCAATATACCTTCCAATTTATATGCATTTCCTCTTTAGGCTAACTAGCCTTTTTCTTTGAGAATGTACTCAGGTCATTCTTTTGAAATTCTGCTGTACATAAAAATCATTTTTTAAAAGAAGCTTAGTCTGAAGAGAAAGTCCTTCTCAACAATTAAAGCTATGCAAAAAATATCAGCACTTTTATATGTGTGTACTTAAGTACACATTTTCTTTTAAGCTCCGAATTTTTAAAAGAAAAGTATACCAGGTATCTCAATTACATAGAACTTGATTAGCAGAACTCTTTCAAAAGGTAAGAAAAGGGCTCAAATGCAGTCCTGTGTTACTAGAGGTTAAGGAGCTCTGGTAGCATAGTGATTACAAGTCACGCTGCTAACCTCAAGCTTGGCAGTTCAAAACTAGTGGGCGAAAGATGAAGCTTTCAGCTCCTGTAAAGATTTACAGCCTTGGAAATCCTATGTAGGGTGGCTATGAATCAGAACCAACCCCACAGCATACTCCCTCCACTACTAGAGGTTACTCTATGTGTTATTAAACTATGTAAAAGTGTCCACTCCAAGAATATCACACAGTTCTTGTAAAGAATAGTTTAAAACATTTACCATAAGACAAAATAACAAGAAAACAGCAGAATAGAAAAAGCAGTACGATTTTCATTACGAAAATAGATGGTTACGTAAAACGCATGTGTATACGAAAATGTAGACTAGAAATACATATGTGCTTTGCTTAATGTCCATAACATGTTCTATAATTCAGACAGGAGGGGGGGACTCCAGAGCACAGTGGCCATGGGGCTACTGTGTGGGGCACAGGCCAGGCAGGCAGCTTCCGCTGTGGATGCCTCAGGTGAGTCCTTGGACAGGTCCTACTCAGCCACTACTACCTTTTCTACTAAGAGCTGCAGGGAAGGCCAACTTGTTTTTGAGAATCTGTATTGGGATAGGGCAGTGTGGATCAAAGGAGCTGAGAGTACCCAAGTCAGGCTGGGGCACATACCTTTCCATCGATGCTCTATGGGACTACACTAGGCAGAACATGGGGATTAGATCTGTTGAGGTGTGAGAACTAAGAGAAATCAGGGTTGGGAGTTTGGGCCTGGACCTCCATAAATACTGACTAATTGGCTTCAGGCCACATGAAACAGCTGGGTAGAAGTGTTGTTCCAACTGCAGGACAAGAGTCTAGCGTCCTAGCATTCAGATACTTGGGTGCCCTGGCCCACTGACATAGATGCAGTCAGATGCTGCCTGAATGGACATTAAGCAATCCACTCTGATACACAAAAACATGAAGGAAAATTACCTCTCAGACATGCAAGTATTATTTAAAAGTAACAATTTTCTATTTTATATTTTCCCCCCAACTTGCATTTATCACACTTATTTTTCCACTAGGGGAATGTATTTCTGTCTAGTGTTAAAAAATAAAGCTAATTCTTTTAGAAAAATGGAAGATCAACACTAAAAAGAAGTGGTTTAATGTCTATTATACGCACACATATTCTTACAGGTTCTGGGGATGAGGTGCTTATAAGATGCATTTACTACCAAACTAACAATTATCTTTGAAAAGATATGAGTTGTTACTTTTTATATATCATGCACACTTTTTTACCAGAAGAACATTAAGAGTCAAAATTAATGCCAAAACTAAAGTTTACTTTTAAATATCTATAAGCAACTATTACTAGCACACATTTCTGCTTGTTTCTGAAAATCTTACCTCAGAATCTATAAAATGCCTTTGGTAGTAATAAAAGCCTCTTCGACAAAGGTTACAATGATTTAGAGCTGTTTTTAAGAAATGTCTTCTATAAACTTGGTGCCAAGTATCCTTAATCTAACATGAGAAAAGAAAACAAAAGCCAGAGGTAATGTACATGCTTCATGTTGAGCAAACACCTGCTGAAAAATGGAAGCTTATTTATGAAAAAGCTAAAAGCAATGACAAAGTAGTTATCTATCCACCTTTTTATCCTCTTCCTTTTTTGCCCTAGACAAAGATTAGATGTATTACTACTCTATCCCATTAACCGTTTATGTGCTCCAAAATTTTTAGCGTTTCCAATGAGAAATATTATTTTGTATAGATTCTATAGGGTGGGGATTATCTTCTAGTCATAGGGAAGGAAACCAAGGCAACAAGAAGTCAAAAGCCTTGCCTAAAACAGGGTTAAGATTAGGAAGTAGGTTCCAGACTATGTTCATGAACTCAACCATATTTCCTTTCTGATTCTGAAACTCCATTGCTACCATACCATCAGGCACCCTGCCACTGTATTACTATATGGTAGTCTGTTGGAGCATTCAGTGATTTTCCACACCCACTCTATTTTGAGCTTAACAACAATAATGTTAAATAGGTAGATGTCATTTTACAGATAAGAAAACATAAATGATCAAATGATATACAAACTGCTAAATGCAGCATTACTAGCAAATAGGGAAATACAGACTGCACATTTTCAGAATCTTTTCATGGTACTTTGCAATCTTTGCTGTAGCTTCATAAAGTGCTTTGTACAAAGTGTCATTTGGGGGAAAAAAAGGAAGAAAAAAAAGATTTTTTTGTTTAAAGAAAGAAAATAATTGAATATACAGTAAACATATCCTAATATAAAAATTAAAAACAAAACCAAAAAAACAAACACCTTAGAAAATCCTCTTACCTTCAAGACAAAAGTCATTCCTAATGCATTAACCAAAGGTCAATACTAAAAGAAGTATCAAATTGAATACAATTTATTGCAAATAGGAACAGGACAAAAATAGAAAATGGAATTTATATTTAACTAAAAATCTCATTTACTAATCAATTTAAATCTCATTTTTTAATTTACAACCAACACTACATGTAGAACAGTTTTAACTGGTTTGAGTTTTACTGGGTTTCCTTTTTCTGCCCTCTGGTGGAATTGAAAGTAAGTATACTCATTTTGCAAGTGCATAAACATAAATAGTAGATACTTCTTAAAACAAACCATCTTTGGATCTGAAATTCCTTCTATAACTGCTGTACATACTAGATTTACTTTTCTAATTGGGTTTCATGCAAACGAATATTAAAATGAACTTCTGATTCCTTACACAGACTCCAAACTAAATTAGTAAGGGATGTAGTCCCAGAAACACACTGGTTTTTGCTTTTCTAATTTATCCCAAATAACCCTCATTAATGTAAGCAAAACATGGTCATATTCTTAGACTAATTTTATCCTCTTACTATAAATGGAGAATCCAAATCCTTATTCAATTTAATAAAAAACATTCAGAATTTTTTCTAATTTCATTTTTTTCTATATTTACATGTACCTGATTGGGTTGTATCATTTTACTGTAGAACACATATGTGCATATAGTGAGTCATACTTAAGCAGAGCTCTATTTTGCCATTTGAAACAGTGTGATGTGGTGGAGAGATCTGGGTAGGGTCTTACTCCTTTGTGAGAACTAAATGCTGAGTATGCCCTAGTATTTAAGCCTCAGCTCCACCAATTACAAATGAAAGCATCGGACTGAAAAACTCAAACTCAGAAAGTAAAATTTCTCCTACCTACACAATCAGAATGTTTTTATTGTCAGCAAACATACACATGATCAGAGTCAAATGGAGCACTTAAACATCTAAGTAGCACACTAGGAGTAGTAACATTTAACCTCAAGAAATAAAGGTTAATGGAGCAGGTTCATGCTTTTCAGCAACAGAAATAAAATAATTACCAAGCTTGGGTCTACGTCTACTCCTCGGGATTCCAGGTTCTTTCGGACTGTGGTTATCTCATCACTGGCAAGGTAAGCTGGATGCTCTTCATTACATTTCAACATCTTCTCCAGCTCGTTCTTGGTTTCATTGTGAACACACTTTAAAAAGTTTAAAAGACAAGGATGTTTACACAGATCATAATTTGGCACATCTTCAATTCCAATTAATCTAGTAACCTGCCTTATGAATCGAGGGCAAGTAGCTTAAGGAACCACAACAACCTGGGGTCTTATGAGGGGGGAAAAACTAGGAAAACAGCCCAATTTGTCACATTTTCCTTTTGCCAAAATATTTTACACTATCACCAAACACCTTATTATGCATTTTCAAGAATTCTTTGACACTAGAGTATGATCTGCATCTAGGAAAAATGACCCTAACTGTAAGGAAAGACATGATAGCCTATACATTGCTCACATCAAGAACTAAATTACTGTTAAGGAATTCATACTTACTGGCATATTTGTTTTCAGATAAATAAATTAGATGCAAAACACACAAATAAGATCATCAGTTCTACACTCAACAAATCATACACTTTCAAATTTTAGTCTTTTCATTAACACTTTCGTAATCCAATTATCGCCCAACTTTGAATTTTCTGTTGAAAACATGTATTTTCATTAATGGGAGGCATGCTAAATCATACTCTAGACTTCAAGTAAAATTATGTGGGACACACACATATATGTCTCTGGACTTGGTACCACCTTCTAGATCCCATGACTGAAAAAAAAAAAGGAAAACCTAAACCCACTGCCATTTAGTTGATTCTGACTTATAACGACCCTGTATATGGTTTCCAAGGCTGTAAATCTTTCCAGGAGGAGAAAGCCTCATCTTTCTCCTACAGAGCACTGGTAGATTTGAACTGTCAACCTTGCCATTAGTAGTCCAGTAATTATCCTACAGCATCACCAGGGCTGCCTTGAAAGGCATATATAATTTAGGACTACTGAAAATGTGGTATTTGTGAAAACATGAATGCACGACGGGAAAGTCAACTTTCAAATAATGCACTAGAACCTGAAAATAAGCTTGTAAATTTAATTCCCAGTAAAAAAGAAACAGACAAAAGTTTTGTGAAATTACAGTTCCAAGAGGCATCAGCTCATGTAATGCCCTGCATAAACAGTACTTCGTGGCATGCACCCATTCATCTGTTTCAAATAGTCCTATAGGTCCTCTCCTGATGTCTGCAAGCACTGCCCTTCTATCCCTGATGAGAAAAATGTAGATGGGCACTTTATGTTCCATGGGTCATGAGAGGGTTAAGAATCCCGCTTTACACAACTTCTATGAGCACAGTATGTCATCATTCTTATATTTACTTCAGTTTCAGTTGGCTTAAGAAAATCAAAACAAGTCCACGAGAGCCAAAATATGACCTTGAACATAGTCAACCTGAAATGAGACAGCATCTCAAAAACAGATTCAATGCACTGCACACTAAAGACCAAAGACGAGAAGAGTTGTGGGATGGCATCAAGAACATCATACAGGAAGAAAGCAAAAGGTCATTAAAAAGACAGGAAAGAAAGAAAAGACCAAAATGGATATCAAAAGAGACTCTGAAACTTGCTCTCGAATGTAGAGAAGCTAAAACGAATGGAAGAAATAAGAAAAAGAGTTGAACAGAAAATTCCAAAGGGTAGCTCGAAAAGACAAAATCAACTATTATAAGGAAATGTGTAAAAATCTGGAGTTAAAAAACCAAAAGGGAAGAACATACTCAGCATTTCTCAAACTGAAAAAAACTGAAGGAAAAATCCAAACCTCAACTTGCAATACTGAAGGATTCTATGAGTATAATATTGAATGATGTAGAAAGTATCAAAACAAAAAACAAGATGGAAGGAATACAAAGAGTCACTATACCAAAAAAAAAATGGTCGATGTTGAGCCATTTCAAGAAGTAGCATAAAGTAAAGATGGCACTGAAGGAAGAAGCCCAAGTTGCACTGAAGGCCCTGGTGAAAAACAAGGCTCTAGAATTGATAGAAAACAAACTGAAATGTTCCAACAAACTGATGAAGAATTGGAGGTGCTCACTCATCTATTTCAAGAAATGTGGAGGACAGCTACTTTGGTCAACTGATTGGAAGAGATCTTTATCTATAGTCATTCCAAAGAGAGGTGATGCAAGAAAATTTGCAAATCATCAAACAATATCACTAATATCAAATGCAAGTAAATTTCCTGAAGATAATTAAAAAAAATGGCTGCAACAGTACATTGTCAGGGGACTGCCAGAAATTAAGTACAGCCAAAGGGAACTCCCAGAAAAACAAAGTCAGATTCAGAAGAGGACATGTAACAAGGGATACCACTGCTGATGTCAGATGGATCTAGGCTGAAAGCAGAAAATATTAGAAAGATGTTTATCTGTGCTTTATCATCTGTGTAAAGGCATTCAACATGACAAGCTATGAATAACACTGTGAAGAATGGCTATTCCAGAACACTTAATGTGCTCACGAGGAACCTGTACACAGACTAAGAAGCAGTTGTTTGAACAAGGGGATACTGAATGGTTTAAAATCAGTAAAGGTGCGCACCAGGGTTTATATTCTTTCACCATATCTATTCAATCTATATGCTGAGCAAATAATCTGAGAAGAACACGGTATCAGTATTGGTGGAAGACACAATAACAGCCTGTGGTATGCAGATGATACAACCTTGCTAGCTCGAAGCCAAGAGTCTTAAAATACTTACTGATGAAATTAAAGACCACAGCCTTCAGCATGGACAGCACCTCAATGTAAAGAAAACAAAAATCCTTACCACTTGACATAAAAATAACATCTTGATAAACAGAGAAAAGACTGAAGTTGTCAAAGACTTCACTTTGCTTAGACCGAAAATCAACACTCATGGAAGCATAGCCAAGAAATCAAACATCATAATGCATTATGCAAACCTGCTGCATAACACTTCTTTAAAGTGTTCAGGAACAACGATATCTGTTTAAGGACTAAGGTATGCCTGATCCAAGCCTTAGTATTTTCCATAGTCTCATACACATGTAAAAGTTGGAGAATGAATACAGAAGACCATAAAAAAATTGATGCATTTGAATTGAGGTGTTGGAGGAGAATATTAAAAGTACCATAGGCTGCCAGAAGAACAAACAAATTTGTCTTGGAAGAAGTACAACCAGATCGCTCCTTGAAAGCCAGGATGGCCAGACTTTGCCTCTCATACTTTGGACACGTTATCAGTAAGGATCAGTTCTTGGAGAAAGACAACATGCTCAGTAAATTGGACACCTAAGAACAACAAACACACTTCCATCCCTTCTGTGTAATTATTAACAATCTTTTCACTAAAGGATGATATATACATACTAGTAAGTTTTGAAAATGAGATTTTAAGTTAGATTTATCTTTACTATTTATATTTAACCTTTCATTAATAATTGCACAGTAAAAGAAACTACCTTCTAATTTACTAATACTTTCTGACCCAGATTGTACCATATTATGGAATCAGAGTATCTGTACAAGAATTATACTTAAACACAAATAAATTGACTAGTAAATGAAACTATTAACACTCTGTAAAAGCATGACACATCGGAATAGATGGCAGTGATGGTGGTGCTTATATGCCATGTAGTTGATTCCTGTATAGGGTTTTTAAGGTTGTAAATCTTTACAGAAGCATAAAGTTTCATCTTTCTCCCAAGGAGTAGATTCAAACTGCTGACCTTATGGTTAGCAGTCCAACTCATAACCCACTACACTACCAGAGTTCCTTTGGAATAAATACTATTCAAGAAGGAAAACTACAACTGTTAGCTTAACATCTGCATATTTAGTCTGAATTAAGGACATCTCTAATAATGGTATACCCCAACTAGTCTCCAATGTATTGTGACCAAGATCTCAATGAGTTCAGCTTAGGCAACGTAAGACTATTTCAAAGGGATGAATTTTTCTAGAAAACTAAGGAAAATGAAACAACAAATTCATGAAATAGTTTTCAGAACATGGATTTCTCATCTGTAACAGGACAAATGTGAAAGACATGAGGATGAATTCTTACAAGACTCCTTAATCTTGTAATAGGAGAACTGGAGATATTTTTAATCTTTTCTAGAATCTGTTTGTCAGTAGGTCTAGAACACTTAGGTAGGTTGCATCCTGGAGTGGAGAATTAGAAAGGTCAAAAAAAGAGAATCTGATTCAGAAGAGTCTGACATGGAGCTCTATTTTGAAGGAAAAATAAAGTATACATACACAAACACCAGATTAGGAGATTCCAAGACACTCTTCCATCTACACTCTAAATTATCCCTTCTGTTCCAGTCAGTCTGGGAATTATGCATCCTGCCATGAAACTTTCCAGGCAGAAGGCTCTTCTCTGACAGATTTCCAGATTTCTCTTCTAGCCACAGACCCTTTCTTTAATCTTAAAACAAATTCCTCTGCTTCTTGGAGGGTCACAATGGTTCCAAGTTCTAAGGAATAATATGTTATAACTAGGAATCATTTTTCTTCAAGAGTGTTTGACCAAAGTATATTCACCAAGGGAGTTACTAAGGCAAGTTCTGCCATTATCATTTGTTTTGTACAAATTCTAGGTCTAATTTCACTAAGACTTGAGGGCTAGACACCAGTTTTCTCTGGAGTTTATCTGCCTTACACCAGCTTTTTCCAATCAATGACTCTTCCTGTCTCAAAGTCAGAAACCTCTGATGAATCTCCTAGAAATTATTTTCTGACAGACCTTCTGCTCTCAGCCCATCTGTACAGCAGAGATAACTGAAGCACCCCAAACACATGCATGATCCAATCACTAACTCTATTTCCTTTTTTCTCAATGACCCATTTTCCACATAAATCATGGCAAAAAAAAAAAAAAAAAGAGAAAAGGAAGACTGTCCTTTCAGTATTTTGAGAGAAGTTTAGACAAGACAGCTCATGAAAAAAGAAACATGTGAAACTGTAGAAAAAGAAAAAGGCATTGATTACATAATTTCACTGCATCTAAAATGAAAACAAAAGCATAAAATAAATAAAGATAATAAATCACTTAGTAATGTTTTCCTTCTCTTTAACTCCTATCTCCATTTTTCCATTTCAGTACCCTTTCTCTAATGCAATACATTAAAAAACAAAGAAAACAAGAAAAGTAGACTAGATATTCTATTTTATATTCATTTATTCATGTATTTATAGTCTAAATTCTATTTAGACTCTTTAAGGAATGAATATAAGAATGAGAGAGCTTTAAAAAAATAATGCTAAATGGGAAAATAAAATTTGAAAGAAATAAAATGGCTGAAGGTGTGTATGCACACACATAGGAGGACTGAATTACTTGCAGTTCCTTTTTATTTATGCATCCTCAAATTATTTACACTTGGCTTTACCATTTTGATTTTCTGTTGTTGTTTTAAGTGCTGTCAAGTCAGTTCTGACTCAAACCTGTATAGGGTTTCCGAGGAGCAACTGGTGAGTTTGAACCACCGACCTTGCGGTTCAAATCGACCTTGAGTTCCAGTGTTTATCCTTTGATCTTATAAGCTGCTATAAAATGTTTATTAAAAAATTAAATTCTATAATTCTGGTGCCTGTCTGAATCTTTATATTTATTTTGTGAAGACATATATAACAAAATGAAAAAGAATAAAATAATTTGAATAGATAAAAATTCAGAAGAAATAACCAAATAAGGTTAAAAAAATTTGTTTTTTCTAATCACATTAATTCTATATGTTGTTGTTAAGTGCCATTGAGTTAGTTCTGACTCATAGTGACCCTTTATAGCGATTCCAAGGAGTAGTAGGTAAGTTTAAACCACTGACCTTGTGGCTCATATCAACCTTGCAGTCCAGGGGTTATCCTACACACTAGGATTTCATTCTGTATATTGTTGTTGTTGTCGTTAAGTGCTGTTGAGTCAGTTCTGACTCATAGTGACACTACATAGGGTTTCCAAGGAGCAGCTGGTGAGTGTGAACCACCAAGTTGTGGTTTAAACCGACCTTGTGGTTCAGTGCTTTATCCCACAGTGCCACACAACAGGAAATCCTTGTCAGTTTTTTCTTGCTCTTTAGTTATTTTTTGGTTTCCTAAATCAACTAGAGAATTAAAACAAAGTAATCGCCAAAAAAGGACATGTCACCTCCCCTTTCTTTCAATAACATAGCTACTATACTTTGTAAAAAACTTTCTTTTATAGTTTCCTGTTTATTCTAAAATATTAGTTATAGTTTAGAAAGGCTATTAGTAAACATCTGAAAATGTTAAGATTTAAAAGACTGATCTAGAACCATGCAAAGGTTGTATTTTTGTGTCTGAATTAAAATAGTATCAAAACGATATCATCATAAGACTGGAAGTTTGATGGATTTTACCTGTTCTTGGGTCCGATTCTTCCAGTATAACCACCTTTTTTTCCAGTCTGGGCCTATCATGTTTTCAATTGCACTTTCAGCTACAAAAATTAAAAAATATTTTAGTTATTATTTTAATTCACTAAGAATTTCATCACTTACCAAGTATATAACTTCTAATTAATAATGGTCTTTCTTAACTACTTCCAAGTGCTCTAGCAATATACAGTTCAAATAAAAATATATAACTGGTATGCTATATACATAAGAATTTAACTATATATGTATATGTCGTGTTAAGTGCAGTTGAGTTGGTTCCAACTCATAGTAACCTTGAATAGGGTTTCCGAGGAGTAGCTAGTGAGTTTGAACTGCCAACCTTGCAGTCCAGTGCTTATCCTAAGCTCTATATATGTATATGTTGTTATTAAGAGTCGTTGAATAGGTTCCAACCCACAGCAATCCTGTATAGTGTTTTTGAGAAGCAACCGGTGAGCTTGAACCACCGACCTTGCAGTTCTAACCAACTTTGTAGTCCAGCGCATTAAACCATAGCACCACACCATACAGAACATAAGAAAAGTATAATTACTTACAAAAGTCCTATAGACACAGTAACAGACACATTAAAATATTCTCAATGATAACATATTAAAATACAAGTGTATATAAGCTTAAGTCCAATTTATTTCACATTCCTAGTAATTCTAAACTGTTGACTGAAAAATTCACAAATAATATTTAATTTTAGTGCTGCTAACAAAGACCTAGAATTGTGCACTGTTATTTTGATAAACGTTCACAAAGTTTTATGACTCCTTCACCACTGTGAATGCTTACAACTTGGTGACCCAGGCCAGGACTTACTATCTTTGAGACGAGCTTGAAGAGCCTCTTCCATAAAATAAATAGCTGCATCCCACTGCTGCTTATCAGATATGGACCGGTCTTCTAAAGCATTGTGTTGAATAACTCTCTGAAAAAACAAGGAAGGGAAAAGCGAATTTTACTTACATATTATCATTTTAGAGGTTTTATACAAATTGACAATTTTTGAGAAGTGAATATTCAAAATAAGATATACCTAAAATATGCCCCACTCATGAAAACGGAGGTCATCTTTTTTTATTTGCCTGCTTATTTGTCAGCTCTCTGTCTAAAAAAATTAAACAGTAAAGATTGTCTCTTAGCCCCACATAAGTGAGCTATTTTTAAAACTGTCCAGAGAGACAATTTCACATTTAACTAAATAAGAGAATCCATTTCCAGAGCCCTAGCTTTCAGGAGTTCATAAGTCAGGTCATCTTCACCTCCCAGTTTTGCCATCTACTCTATATAATAGTATTTTCAAGAAAGAAGAGGGGGAGGAAAATTAAAAACCATTGTATTTCATTATTAACAGAAAAGATAAAAGGAACAAGGTAGAAACTTTAAAGATATAAGCAATCATAAACACTATTTATTAAGATTAAAAACTGGCTTCCTAATTTTATAACTATTGAATGAAAAAATAAAAATGGCATCAGTCTTTTAGAAAGTCAGTCTTACAATTAGTTTTTAAATATGAATACAAACATTTTTCAAAATTAAATTGTAACCAGCTCACAGTGAAATGTTCTAACTCTCTAAGCAGAGAAGGTGTTTAACAAATGTTGTGGTATTTTCCATATAACAAAAGTTTTATCAGGTGGTGGAGGTCAGAGTCCAACACTTTTAAATCACACAGAATTGAGCTTGAATTTTAGTCAATGACAATAGTTCTGTTATTAGATGCTGTTGAGTCAACTCAGACTGAAAATGACCCTACAGAACAGAACAGAACTGCCCCATAGGGTTTCCAAGGCTGTAATCTTTACAGAAGCAGACTGTCACCATCTTTCACCCATGGAGCCGCTGGTGGACTAGAACTACCAACCTTGTGGTTAATAGTCTAGTGCTTATCCTACTGAGCCATAGCAGCACCGGTATTATTGTCTTCGAGTCGGTTTCAGCTCACTGTGATACTGTGTAGGGTTTCTAAGGAGTAGCTGGTGGGCTTGAACTGCTTAGCAGTCCAATGCTTGTATGACAGTGCCACACACAGTCCCCTATAAAAGGGTTGTCAGCTTGAGAAATTCATTAAAAAATATGAGGCCAACATCCTAATATGCAAATGACATACCAAGCTGTCTTCTGCAAAGTCATTCCACTTGTGGCGTTTAATACTTTCTTCTTTAACAGCCTCTTTAAGTTTGTCAAATATATCATCATGCTCTTTTCCTTTTGGTTCCGTCATGAAACGGGAAAATTCTTCTTGTAGGGTCTCCCAAGCAACCTAGAATTATTTAAGATCCCTATATATGACATATATTTATTTAATGTATAACATGAAAAAATAGCACATGAATTCAAGTCAAACAGGTGAGATACATCAGTGTATCAGAAATTATATATAAGTATATACACACATATACACAAAACTCCATTAATGGAAACAAAGGGCAGCAAATGAAAAGTCTGGTCCAAAGATGACAGTTGGAGGTTAGTGATGATAGACTGGGCCTCCTGACATGTTTGCTAGACATATAGTTTATAACTTCTAAAAATTAGTTGGCAACGTTGAAATTTTGGGCAACTTCATATACAAATCTGCATTTCTAGCTTGTTGGAACTCTCTGGCAACGATGTACACCATTCTACACGACCCCACCTGCAGGAGCTGAGCAGACGAGTGAGATATGCACTTTCAGTCAGTTACTAGACTTATTCTACCCTGTAGATACTGGAGTTTGTCTGCTTCTTGAAAAAGCTTTCAATTTTTTTCGTGAATGATTCAGTCTTCTGCACTGCAGCAACACTTTCTAAATAGCTAAGTATTATTCAGGCTTATATTACAGCTAACTCCTACAGACGAGCAGTGTCAAACGTAATTAAGAACTAAACTTATGGATAAGTGGCCTTTTATGTGATGCGTTTTATATTTAATCCTCCTCATGTTACAATGAAGAAACTGCAGCTTGAATAAAGGTAAATGATGGAGTCAGTCTTTAGAATCATGGTTCCTGACTCTCACCAGGACAATGTCCTTTAGACTACTCCTAGGTCCAAGGATGGAAATCAGCTAGAAACAGACTAATTGTCCTTGTAACGACCACTAAGGAGCTCTGGTAGCATACTGGTTACAAAATCGGGCTGCTAATCTCAAGGTCAGCAGTTCAAAAATACCAGCTGTTCCACAGGAGAAAGACAAGGCTTTCTGCTCCCGTAAAGATTTACAGCCTCAGAAACCCTATGCAGGGATGTTATGGGTAAGAATCAACTCGACGGCACTTAACAACAATAACTTGAACCTCAGTATACAAAAACATTAAAAAATTAGGGCTGCTAGTGAGGTGTCCTGGTGTGGTACTATGGGTTAATATGCTAGACTGCAAAGTCGGTTTGAACTGCAAGGTTGGCAGTTCAAGCTCATCAGTTGCTCCTCAGAAACTCTCTACAGGGTCACTATGGGTCAGAACAGACTCGACAGCTCTTAACAACAACATGAACCTCAGTATACAAAAACATTAAAAAATTAGGGCTGCTAGTGAGGTGTCCTGGTGTGGTGCTGTGGGTTAATATGCTAGACTGCAAAGTCAGTTTGAACTGCAAAGTTGGCGGTTCAAGCTCACGAGCTGCTCCTTAGAAACTCTCTACAGGGTTGCTATGGAACAGACTTGACGACACTTAACAACAACAACAGTGAGGTGTCAGCGGCAGAAGTAGTCTAGCTACTTTAGGGGTAAATGTGTTGACAAGTGAAAGGGTTCAGCAACATGCAATTTTGGAAGGGAGACTATAAAAGTTCTTAGAAAGGGAAACTAGAAGAAACTGAGAACAGAGGTAAAGAAGCTAGAGCTGGAATCAGAGAGGAAAGGGGTGAAACCACATGTGAATAATTAGGAGACCCCATTTTATTTAGAAGAAAGGGAATGAAAAGCCAACTTATTTTTAACACGGATTTCAATTTTGTAGTTTAACCCAGAACATCAGATATACTGACTTCATGGGGTGATGTACAAAGCTTATCAACTCAGATATGATGATGGTGTCCACAGCAGCTGGCATGTACTACGTGCCAGGTACTGTCTACTACATGTAGGAATTCGTTCAATCCTCACAGCAACCATAGGAGGCAGGGAACATTCTCATTCCTATTTTGTACATGAAGCAACAGAGGCATAGAAAGGTTAAGTAACACTAGTCCAAGGATCACATTGAGCCAAAATATGTTGGTAACAGAAATAGTTCTTAGTCTAATCTTCCAGCAGGAGTCCAACTAAGAAAATGATTATTTTAGTTTATCAGTCCTTAAGAAAACCAATAAATGAAATCTTGTATGCATTAAGTATTTTCCTTAGAGAATCTCCATCCACAGAAGTTCAAAATATTCCACATTCAAAACTTTACTGTTTGTTTTTAAAATGCCGTCTTTGAAAGAACCAACACTCTCAACCCAGTACCAACTACTAACACTTTAAATCAGTGGAGTATAAAGACTAAAAAGGAAAAGACAGTGGCTGTGATGGTAATACAACCAAACTGTCACAGCTTCAGGTCCCTGACATAATGCTTCTTACCCATTGAATTAAATTATATCCTAACCTCTACTGCTTTATTAGGAAGCTGCTTGTCAGTCCATTGCTTAAGCTTGATATCCACTGTAGTATTAAACGTTCCTGAATTCATAGTCTGTGCAGCAGGAAGATAGATATTTTCAATCACATGAGTTGATACTCTTTCCCACAAGGACTGCTGAAGGATTTCCTCCCTGAAATTCAAAAATAAGTAAATACATTTAAGAACAAGGAGCTCTGGTACAGTAGTGGTTACAAGTAGGGCCTCAAGATCAGCAGTTTGAAACTACCAGCGGTTCTTCGGGAGTCAGATGAGGCTTTGTGCTCCTGTAAAGATTCACAGTCTCAGAAAACCTATACAGGGTCGCTATGAGTTGGAACCAACCCCCTGGCACATCACCACCACTACCACCAAATTTAAGAACACTGAAGTGAAATATAACGCCAAGTTTTGAAAAAAATAATTTTACAAAAGTATTAACTTACAATAAACTGTGCATATTGGAGGTGTGCAAATTGATAAGGCTTTACATACAAATGAGGGCATTTCAAAGAGTTCAAGGAAAAATGGAGTGAAAAGATAAAAGAATCTTCCCCTGAACTTTTTGAAGCCCCTTCATGCATGCACATCTGCATATAAGCACAGTTCTACTTAAAAACAGAAAGTTCTTAAAAATACCAAAGACTTTTAATTTATAATGACGATACCAATACAAGCATTCCAAGGCTACATATACATATATCATATACATATATAAGGAGCTCTGGTAGTGTAGTGGTTACGAATTGTGCTGCTAACCTCAAGGTCAAAACTACCAGTGGTTCTGTAGGAGAAAGATGAGGCAGTCTGCTCTCGTAAAGATTTACAGCCTCGGAAACCCTATGTAGGGTCACTATGAGTCAGAACCGACTCCACGGTACTTAACAACAACAACAATATACATATATAAATTTGTCTGAGTTACACAGAGTATCTTTTCGTGTTACAGTGCTCCTGTTCAACAAGTTTAATAATGCACAAACTTACATAAAACATAAATTGGAGAGGATAGTTTGCTTGAGAATTTTACAAGATGATATAATTACTGGCTGTTTGAAAAAGCGCACAGAATTTAGTTCAAAATGAAATTTGCATACGATATAGTTGTTGTTGTTAAGTGTCATCAAGTCAGTCCTGACTCACAATGATTCTGTATAGCGTTTCCAAGGACTGGCTGGTGAATTTGAACCACTGACCTTGTGATTCAAACCGACCTTGAGGTCCAGTGCCACACCAGGACTAGTAGGTACTCAGAAATGAGAAACTGAAAATATGTACTATTCACTAATCTCACTTTACAAGCGAAACACTATTTCTAGAGATTTCGTCCTCTCTGATGAATCCAACAGTAACCAGTCCTAATAAATAGTTTTGCTAATTATCTAAAGCACAATTTGATGAAACTTTTGCCTCATTTTTAAAAAATGAGCATTTTTTAAGTACGTTGTTGTTGTTACGTGCCATCAAGTAGCTTGTGACTCATAGCAACCCTTTATAGGGTTTATGAGAAGTGGCTGGTGGGTTTGAACTGCCGGCCTTGAGGTTTAAATTGACCTTGCGGTCTAGTGCATTATTTTGCAGCACCACACCAGAACTCCGTTTATTAAGTATAAGGTAAAGGAAAGCCAAACACATATCAAGATTTAAAAAGAGTATGGAGAAAGCGGTCTTTAAAAAATGAATTGGTCTGACTACAATAGTGGTTACATTTGACAAAAAGATGTATGTGTATGTTCTTGCTGACTGTTATGTGTGTCACCTTGGTTAGGTATAACGTAAATATCCACCATTCTGGAATCTTGTATTACGTAAATATCCACCATTCTGGAATCTGGCGCAATTATCCTTTGTGCTGTAAATCCTAATGTCCATGATGTTAACGAGGCATGGCTACAGGCAATTAGAGTAATGAGGTACGATACAATTTACAGGACTAGGTTGCATCTGGAGTCAACCTCTTTTGAGATAACTGTTGTTGTTGTTGTTAAGTGCCTTCGATTCGGTTCCCACTCATAGAGACTCTGTATAGGGTTTCTGAGAAGCAGCTAGTGGGTTTGTACTGCCGACCTTAGGGTTCGCAGTCCAATGCTTATCCTACAGCACCACACCAGAAGTCCTAAAAGAGATTAAACAAGCAAGCTGAGATAGGGGGACCACTACCACAAAAACAGAAGAGCAAGGAGTGGAGCACATCTTTTGGAATCAGGATCCAAACTCCAAAATCCAGGAGACAGAAAAAGACAAGAGACACAGAGACAGAGACAGAGAGAGAAAGACAGACAGAGAGAGAGAGAGAGAGAGAGAGAGAGAGAGAGAGAAACAGAAACAGAGAGAGCGCTCTAACACCAGAAATGGCAAGAGACAGCGGAAGAGAAAAGGCATCAGCAGAGGCATCAGAACCAGGAGACCAGCAGGAGACAGTGTGGTGGGTTTCCTGATCCACAGAGCCCGAGACCTGAGTATCTTCCAGCAGGGAGTTTGCTGGAAAGTGGCAATTATTGATATAGCTAAAGAACTTTATAACAGTTGCCGGAGCAGGGCAGAGAGAGGCCTTCCTGTGGACATGTCTGAGAAGAGACTGTCCTGACAAAAGAAGTGTATTCTGAGTCATTTCAGATAACTGCGGGATAAAGTACTGAACTGCAAGGTCAGTTTGAACCACAAAGTCAGCTGTGGTCTCCAGCCGCTTATTGGAAATCCTATACAGGGTAGCTATGAGTCAGAAGTGACTCGATGGCACTTAACAACTTCCCCAGTAAGGCCTATAAACATGAGTACTGTCTGCAAGTTGTGTGTGGCCACTGCAATGGATTATTGAATTACAGAGTAGAAAGTGCTATGAAAGGAACAACTGGTGTCAGAATTGACAAAAAAATTGGAGCGATGAGAGAGGCTGATTTCTCCCACCTAACAGAAATCAGCCTTGGGCTGCTGACTTTGATTCTCCTGAGCCCCCTTGTGAAGTTAGAGGAGATCAGACACCCAAACCAGGCCATTTTTACAGTTAAAAAGGCTAGAGGGGGAAAGTATGCCTGATCTTCACCTCACAGCAATCAGCTTTGGGCCAACTCATTTTCACACTTTCGGGGGAAGAACCAAAGCAACAATAAGTCACTACACTAGCCATCTGAATTTTAATATTTTATCACATTGCAAAAGTCTTTGAGAAAAAGGAATTAATTATATCAAACTCAAATACTCACCAATGTTTTGGTGTAACCTGGCTTAGACTGATAACTTCATCGAGGATTTCATTTTTAGCTTTTTCAAATAGTTCATTCTAGGAATACAGATACAAGCAAATAAAAATTTCAAATAAGAATAAGATTTTACCCTGCCATAATTTTCATAGATACCCAAAGGCAGGCCTTTGACAGGCTAGTGGGCTAGGTTTATAAGGTTTGAAGTGTGAAGAGCGAACAATGCTCTTGTCTTCTGGTCTCCTTTTGGAATGCTAGTATCCAGGTAAGTACAAAGGAACTGATTCAAAATTTGCTACTTACACAATTTTAAATGCCACTTTTCAGACAATATTCACACATATAACATCTTCACATAATGTTATATGAAAGCATCAGTACATATTTAATTCAGTGTATTAGTAAATCAATGCTATTTTATAATTTAGAATCAATGAGAAGCAATATTTAGTTTCCATTAGAGTACCATTAAAAATATTTTACATTGCATACATATGTTAATTCTGTAAGACCTTTGAAGAAGCTTCTCCACTGTATCAAAGTTTTGATAGTCTATGATCCCTAATTATTTTTCAATTTTATGTAATAAATAAGTTATGGGAGAAGAGTAAACTGCTCTGGGAAGAGTATTCTTACAGCTCTAAATGGGTAGTCGCGGTCTAAACCAAACCAACGTAACTTACTAGATTTCTCTCATCAACACAAATTTTATTAGAACAAAATTAAGGTATATACGAAATATGAGGTACCCAAATATTACCCTGTCAAGCTCTCGCAGGCGAGGGTAGTTATTCTTCCACTCAGTTTCAAGGTTAAAACGTGTTGCTGAAGAAGAAGGAAGAACAATCAAGTCAGATGGTTCTCTTATTTTCAAATATAGTGGATAAAGGTTATCTCAAATATTTTCTGAGGGTGTACCTAACTAAGTCTCCTTAATGTTCTGGGCTGTCAACATTCAAAAGTTCATTATTTTAACAGTGTTTTAATCTCTTTTACTCTAGTTTCTTTATTTTCTATCACAAAATATACAGCTGAGGCAATTTAGTGCAGCAGCTAAGAACACAGACTCCAGACTTGTATCACTAAGATTCAATTCCTGGGGTCTACTTTTTTGTTGGGTGATCCTGGGTAAGTTACTTTGTACCTTTTCTACCTTTTTCATAAAATGTGGATAACAATACTTGTGCAGTTGCTCAGGGGCTAAATGAGATTAATAAGTAGGATGGATGTCCATGTGGGATAAGAGAAGGAGAATATATTCTCATCAGACACAAACTATAGAAGCAAAGCCACAGGACAAGGAAGTGTGAGATTCAGGAATCGGCACCATATAGCAGAAGCACAGATTGCTCCACAACCTCTTTCCCTCTCTCCATTTAAAAGGAGGGCATCTATATGTAACGTGTAAGAGCTTTTTATACTTTAATGAATTTATTCCCAAACACTACTGTAAACCTGCTTTGTCTGTTTAAACGCTGCAGTTCTGCTAGCGGTTTACTGTGAAAAGAAAACTCCTATTCTTGATAACCACTGAAGATTCGTACTTTCTCCATTTTACACATACTATCTAATGAACTAATAAGTCACTGGTAGAGAATCTGACAGATGGTAATGATTTTCAGCTCATAAAATATCCAAATTTGCTTAGAGATCTGATTTACCTTTGAAACTATCAGCCTGCTGTTCAACTGATTCTCGTACCATTTTCCAAAAGCAGTCTGATACAGCAAGGCTTAAATTCCTTGTAGTTACCTGGTGCGCCTTTAGCATGCTTGTCCTATGGTAAAGAACAACAAAAGCTAAAGTGTTTTAATTGGCTAAGAGGACAACAGTACTACCTTACTGATTTCAGAACGTGTTTGTTAGGATGAGAACAGCAACGTATACATTTTATAGCTGTCCAATAGAAGTCTCAGCAATGAAGAAATGCTTCTACATGTGCACTTTCCAATCTGGTAGCTATTTATCACATTCAGGACCTGAATGTATGGCTTTATTTAATTTTAACTAATTTAAATTTAAATAACCACACAGGGCTAGTGACTATTGCATTGGAAAGCACAGCTGAACATATCAGCTTCCTAATAGATAATAGGCAAGAACTATTTTGCCTTATTGTACTAATCTAGTAGCAAATGCCTTTTCTACTTCAATAAACGTTCTACATATAATTTTTTTTTTTTTTTAATATAACTAAGTTCCATTAAATGAAAGGTTGATGGTTCAAAGCCGCCGCTCCTTGGGACCCATACACAGGTTGCTGAGTCAGACCCAACTCAATGGTACTTGCAACAACACTGCAAGGTCGAGAGTTCAAACTCACCCGCAGTTCTGTGTGAGACAACTCAGGCTGTCTTCTCCAGTAGTAAACACGTGCAGCCTCAGAAACAAGGTCGCTATGAGTCGGAATTGACTCAATGACAGCAAGTCTGGTTTGGGTTTAGGTTACTTTGTAAGTAAAACAATTGAAGTAGTGTCTGTGTGGACTGTTAGGGTCCATCCTTAGGCCAACATTATGAGTACTGCCCATGTGATCAACTGTTCCCTATTCTGTCAAAGATTGTCTTAAGGACTTGCTTATTAGATCCAGGTCACTAATGGTAAAAATTTTGGAAATTTGATGCTATATAAAAAAAAAAAAAAAAATCAAGTGAAAAGCTTCATTTAAGCCGACTATAAAATCTTTTAACTCTTGACTGTAAAATCTTTAAATATTGAACAAGACACCTACTTTAATAGTTTTGAATTCTGGAAAAATTCTTCTTCATATTCTCTTATAGCTTCAATGCTTTCAGAACTATTTCCTAGGGGAAGATGATGGCCACATTTTCATTAAGAAAACTCATCATTAGTATTTGAAAACAATGCAAACTAAACAATTACAATCCATCTTTACATACCTTTCCCTGTAACAACAGCAAAATAACCCAGAGCTTTCATTGGGAAGAGCTTTCCTTCAATTATCTGTTGAATCTATTTTAAAGAGCAGGGAAAACATATGTGAGGTGTAATTTTTAAAATAACATATCAAAATATTTAATGACACTGTACAAAACATGTTTTGAAAAATATACAAAATAAAATATACAAAAATAGGTACAAAACATTTTAAATGTATTTTAATTGGTATTTAAATAAAAAATATATATTTAAACTTGACTACATGGGAAAAGTAAGGAGCTCTGGTAGCACAGTGGTTACAAATCGGGCAATTAATCTCAAGGTCGGCAGTTCAAAACTACCATCTGTTCTGCGGGAGAAAGATGAGATTTTTTGCTCCCATAAAGATTTGCAGCCTCGGAAACCCTGTGTAGGGTCACTATGAGTTGGAACCAACTCCACAGTACTTAACAACAAGAACATGGGAAAAGTATTATTAAGACCTATGGAACATAATTAAGACTTGGAATGAAGTATGGTCCTCTGGAATCAGAAAGAATTCAATTCAAATCAGAAGTCCTGCTCTTCCATTACTAGCTATAAGGTCTAAGTAATTTTTCTAAAGCCTGTTAATAACATTATATTAGATAATATAAATACTTAGCACCGTGTCAGACACTTAGACACTCAATGTGGGGTAGCTACTATTATTAGCTTCAGATCCATCAGTTACATATAACATACAAGGTATCTACCCTGTAATATCCATTCAGTCTGTTGTCGTTAAGTGACATCGAATCGGTTCCAACCCGTAGCGACCCTGTATAGCGTTTCCAAGGAGCAACTGGTGAGTCTGAACTGCTGACCCTGCAGTCCAGTGTATTAACCCACAGTGCCACACCAGGACTCCATTTAGATTAATATGTGGTTAAGAATATGTGGCTGTTTCAAAAAGTACTTGGAAAAATTTCAGTTTCTTTTCATTTCATTTTTCTACAAACTTTTTTACCTCTTCTTAGACAAGTTACATCCCTAAGCTAATGAGGAATTTTTGGAATCAAAAGGACTGAAATAAGATTCATTTGTACTTCAAAGTACCATTGAATCGCTTCTGACTCATAGGGACCCAGTACAGCAATTATGAGGAGTGGCTGGTGAGTTTGAACTGCTGGCTTGGCAATACAAACCAACCTTATGGTCGAACGCTTATCCTCCAGCACCATATGAGGACTCTGAAACTACTTTGAAGATGTGTACACAACTTTAATACTGGGGAAAGTAGGAATGAGGGTGACTCAAAGAAACTATGTTAGAGAAGATGACAAAGGTACAGCAGGCCTTACTCTTAAAAATAAGGCAAAGCACAGGCCAAAAGAGGCTGTGCAAAAAAGTGTTACTGAACAGGCCCAGTACTGTTACCCTTAGAAGGTCTGTCTGAAATGCTGGCACTTGCCCAGTACCTAAGAACTTGACTAGTAAGCAGTTCCCTACACTGGTATTAAACCTGCACTAAGTAGGTGTGGCTCACTGTGAGATCAATGTGGTTAATACTGAACACCAGCTTTTCTTCTGGGAATATGAATTTTGATGCATGAAGGGGCCTACATGACCAGCCCTGCCCCTATAAAAACTCTTAGGCTCTGTATCTCGAATCAACTTCCTTAGTAAGACAATCCTTAGATATGTTGTTATAACTGTGTAGAAACTCAAGTCGTTTCTTCCAGACTACAAGCCATATACTTTTTCCCTTTGTGATTTTGCTTTGTTTCTTTTAGCTATAATAAAGTGCAGTTAATATGCAGACTATTTGCTGAGTTCTGTGAATCCTTATACCGAATAACTGAACCTAGGGGTGCTCTTGGAGACCCCTGACACAGACATAGAGGCATAGTCCCAAAAAGTCTCAGTTGGAAAGGAGGGAAATATTAAGCAGCACCACCAGGGACGGGAATACTTACAGCATGAAATTACTGCTCTATAGGGATAAGGATAAAATAATAATAATAATGTTGTTGTTGCTAAGTGCCACTGAGTCGGTTCCAACCCATAGCGACCCTGTACAGTGTTTCCAAGGAGCAACTGGTGAGCTGGATCCACTGACCTTGCAGTTCAAATGGCTTTGCAGTCTGGCGCATTAACCCACAGCGCCACACCAGGACTCCAAATGATTATAGAGGACAGCTCATTTATATGTACCGTCCTATTTCAATCCCTGTACGATATATTTAATTAATTAAATCCTCAGGAAGCTACAGTATAGAAAAGTTAAGGAACTTGCCAAAGATAACACAGCAAGCAAATGGTAGAGCCAGGATTTTAAATCAAATACTTTGGTTATATTTCTTTACTCTTAGACACTGCTCTGTAGCATTTCAACAGAAAGCATACCGTAAGTCAAGACTTGCAGTGCATTACAACTTACATGGAATATTGCCTTGAACTAAAATTAGCCTTGTCAAGGAGAAAGGGAGAAACAATGGTGCTAGAGGTTTCAGACAAACAATTCTAAAGACATTAATTCACTACGATAAGGAACACTGGAACATCGTGTTTAGAATTTAAAGAAATTCAGAAATGAAAATGGCCTAAGACATTAATTAGATTAATGGGATGGACTCTGCACTGACAGGATTCAGACAAGTGACAAAATTTGTCCAAGAATATAAAGCTTGTTGTTGTTAAGTGCTGTCGAGTCAGTTCTGATCCATAGCGACCCTGTATAGGGTTTCCAAGGAGTGGCTAGTGAGCTTGAACAGCTAATCTTGTGGTTCAAATTGATTTTGCAATCCAGCACATTGTGGCAAAAATTCGGAGGCCTAACTCCTAATTTAATGACTTTTCTTGCTAAAAACCTGCAGTCTTTTAATGAATTTGGAAAGAATAACATTTTCTGCAGTAAAATGGCATGGGGGGGTGGTCCATGAGGAATGTATACCGTCACAAGCATTATACTAACTTACGACACCAATTAAAAACAATTAACAAAAAACTTAATCAAATAAGAATATCATAATCAAGTTAATGAACCAAGAAAAATCTTGCTGCTGTTTTCTGTTAAAGTATTCCACACAACGTTTTAGTTTTAGTTACACAAGTTTTCCCTATCATATCTGGAGTTTGTACAAAGAATCTGATCTCAGAATTAAGAACTTATCCTCACCCTGCTTGGACTAGCCACATTTTTCTCCGCCAGGTCTACTTTGGTTAAAACAAATATTGTTCTTCTTCCATGAGGATCCATCTGACTGACTAAGTCTGTAACAATGCTGCGTTCAGCATCCACAGAGCCGTCTGATTAAAAAAAAAAAAAAAAAAAAAAAAGGAACACTTAGTAATTGCAAAATGTTAAAAATTCAGCTCTTCTAGCTATAGCCTTGTATTTAGATAATAGCAAGAAAAATTTTTTTGGTTATGAAAAGATATTCTAGCCAGAGAAATGATGTCTACTGAAACAATCTTAACTTCAATTCTATTCATAAACAAAATGAATGAAAAAGAGGAGGCAAAATACTTTTACCATTTATATTTATGCAATCTCAGTACTAAGGGTAAAGCTAGGATTGCTTAAGGAGGAAATGACACTTGTTGTAATGGAAACTTGTCAGGTTGTTTTGATCACATACCATTAATTGTAATTAAGAAAGTCAGAATGCAGGGCCACAGTTCAAATGAGTTATATGATCTATGCATCTGGTGTGATTTTTTACTAAGAGTATGTCAGAGTAAAATGCAGGGCAGTCAATCCAACCCTGTGTCTTCTCATGGTAAATCTGAGCCTCAACATCCTGAAAATCCAGGTCTCAGGGCTCAATAGGCAGACACACTAGAATATCATGATTATGCAGGATCTATCCAAACCACTGGTCCCATATGAATGGTATTTAGATATTTAGTGGGCAAATTGTATTGGCAAGAGCTTAATATTAAAATGGTACTGTAAGAAACAAACAAAACAACTTTTGATTAGACTTACCTTGAATACATAATATGATGGCATTAGGATTCTGCATATAAGCTTTGCTGATACTGAAAATAGTTTCCTTCGTGTCAGGAGCCATGCCTGATGTCACGGTCTTGAAAAAAAAGGTTTTAAATGTCACTATAAATGTTCTTCACAATAAGAATCAAATAGAAAATATGTTTGTATACACTTACATTAATCACACCAGGTAAATCAACAAGCACCATCCTCTGTAGTCCAGGCCCTTTTACATTTAAGGAAATGGTCTATTCAGGAAACATCGACAAAAAAAACAAAAGTGTGAGTACGTGGGGTATTCAGAGTTTTCGATGATATATGGTCTGAAATGTCTATATCTTATTCACTCAGATATGTACTTGATAATATTTTCAAATCCTATAAGTAATTATTCAGGAAAATTGTCTTACTAATTATCTTATACATAATCCTATTACCTAAATATCTTAACATTTTAATAATATATTATTTGGCCTATTAAAAGAGAAAAACCACAATGTATCTTAGAACAGCTGCAGTTTATACATACACAACAAAAACCATGATTTAATTGAAACCATACACCAGTAGTTATCAATGAAAATCTCTGAAATGAATTGTAACCCTTACCTCAGGACTAACGGTACAGCCTTCTTTCACATTTTTCCTCATTCGGATTTCTATTTCATGTCTCAATGCTGCAAGCTATAATGAAAACCAACAAAATCCTAAGAAAACCTTTACATCACAAATATTCTGTTTGTCTTTCATGAGCTTACTAAATTCATAAAGTTACACAGAGAAACCTGTTACTAGGCAAGTCTTCAAAAGACACTGTAAAATTCTTTCTTTTCTACTTACATCTTCTTCTTTGGTTAGATCAAACTCCCGAGAACTATCTTTAAACAAGGCCACGTGGTGAGGACCTTCACTGAGAGTTACCTGAAATTAACAGAAAATTATGCATTTATAATGAAGGCCAGTTCCCACAGTACTAACATGATCCACACACAGAGCCATTGGGATGAACAAATCTGGGTGCTCCTTCAGATTATTAAGAGGGTCATGAACTGTCAACATGGTAGTGCTCAGACTACAATAACTTTTTCCAACTTTTTATTGTGAATTGAAGTATTACAGAGCAAATCATCAGTTTTACATTCAATAAATCACACACTTTTTTTCATCTGAACAATGATAATCCCTTCCATACAACAACAGTTATTCCACTTCCTCCCTATGCTTCCTATTTCCAATCCACATTCCTTCCCATCCCTTCTACTCTGTCCTTATGAAAATGTTCTCCTTTTGATTTTGAATGACTGGCCATTTCATGGTGAGTGGACCTTATTAGTACTGTTGTCCCCAGAATATACCTATCTACAGTTTGGATGACAATTAGGCCATGATGTTGAGTTCCTTTCAAGACCTGAAGGGTAGTGGAGGACGAGTCTCAGATTCACCCAGTCTGTTTCTGACCAGTAAGCCCATGTCTTCACCTGTCTTTATCATTCTTCTGCCAACTTCCCTCTTCTTGTATACTGCCCTTCCTCCCTCTCCCTTTTGACTGCAATCTTTTTTTTAAGTTTTTATTATGAATTGAGTCATAGTTTACAATCATTTTTTTAATCTGTGCTGCTCATATACATTTCACACGACTTGTGATTTCCCCAACAAGATGGCCTGACAAGCAAAATCATTTAAATCTTCTATGATGTATTAAAATACTACTGTCCTCCCACTCCCCAGTCATCAGAATATAGAGCACTATGAATGAAATCACTGCTGAAAAACCAAAAGAAAATCTTGAATCTAACTTCAAATGGGAATTTACTAAGTACATGAAAATTCATTTATTTAACATCTGTTTATTAAGAGTGAACTATGAACCAACACATATGAAAAAAATCGCATGATATATTACATTGGACAAATCTGCTGCAAAAGACTTCTCCAAAGTGTTAGAGGACAGATGCCACTCTGAGGACTAAGGTGCACCTGACCCAATCCATGGCATTTTCAATCGGTTCATAGCATGAAAAAACAAGACAATGAATAAGACAGACGGGAGAATTGATACCTTTGAATTATGGTGTTGGCAAAGAATATTGTATATACCACAGACTTGAAAAATAAACCTATGTTGGAAGAAGTACAGCCATTGTTGTGTTGCTGTTAAGTGCCATCGACCCAGTACCAACTCACAGTGACAATATGCACAGCAAAACAAAACACTGCCTGATCCTGGGCCAACCTCACTACTGTTGCCAAGCTTGACTCCATCGATGCTGCCACTTGGCCAATCCATCTCGTTGGGGTCTTCCTCTTTTTCTCTGACATTCCACCTCACCAAACATGATAGCCTTCTCCAGTGATTGGTCCCTCCTGACATTATGTCCCAAGTATGAGAGATGAAGTTTGGCCATTTTGGCCTCTAAGGAGCATTCTTGGCTGCACTTCTTCCAAAACGGATCTATTGGTTCTTTTGGCATCCCATGGCACTTTCAACATTATTCTCGAAAACCATAACTCAAAAGCATCAATTCTTCTACGGTCTTCCTTATTCACTGTCCAGCTTTCGCATGCATATGAGGTTATTGAAAATACCATGGCTTGGGCCAGGCGCACCTTAGTCCTAAAGCTGACATCTTTGCTCTTCAA